AAGTTGGCTATTCTAAAAGCACTGTCATCACTAATTTCATGTAAACTCTCGTTCTCAATGGTTGGTTCTTTCCTACCTACTCTGGCATTGAGAACTCCTAATATAATTTTCATATGGTATTTAGGAAAGGTATCGAATACATGTTCTAGTTCCTCGTGCATTCTGTCCTTAATACCATAAATTTTATCCTCTGCTGGGGCTTGGACATTCAGAACGATATCACACCAGCGACCTCTTAGTATTATGAACGACATCCTACCTCTAACAAGCTCTACCCTCTTATTTTTTTATTGCTAGTGGGATGGTATAGCTCAAGCGGTTAGTCCTGGCTTCCCACCGCGGCGGCCCGGGTTCGATCCCGGGGCCTGGTCAGGTGGGATTTGTGGTGGACAAAGTGGCGCTGAGGCAGGTTTTCTCCGAGTACTTCGGTTTCCCCTGCCAATCTTCATTCCACCAAATGCTCCACAATCACCCTCACCTATCATCTGGGGCTGGTACAATAGGCCAGAAGTGGCCGCAGTGCAAGGGACTTAGTCCCACCCCACTAGCAATAAAAAAAAAGTCCTACCCTATACAGACTTGTTACACTCCACGTCCGATTTTCTTAGCTCGTGTCGTCTATCCATAGAACCCGTCCAAGTCCGAGGCCCTTTGTGCCATTTCGAAGCAAGCTACAAGCCCACCCCTTGTCAACTGTACACGACTCCTTACTCAATACACTTGCAGCTACCCTCCACTGAAGACTCACATGTAGAACAGTTAATATTTCAGCAAGAATAAAACTATTCTTCAGCTAACAAAACAACAAGCGCTGTCATGGCCTTTACTGTGCGGGAGTAATGCGACCCCATGTGGAGACTCCATTATTTCGGGAACTCAGCAGAATTTGAGTCCGGAATTATACTGACCAGAAAGTCTAATCATAATTCGGCGTTTGCGATGAAGTTCTTCTGAGTACTTAGCAGGACAGAAAGGTTGCAGAGGGTACTGCACTGGCAAGAACACTATCGCTGAGCGAACGAGGTCGGACACGGTGCTAGTGGAAAACGGGGTCGTGTGGGGCGGTGAGGGTTTCATGATGATACGTTTCGACACATTTCTACTATTACAGTACGCCTATGTGAAGACATGCGGTTTCCAGGCTAGAGGCGGCTGTGAATTCAACCTCGTGATGAATCGGACACAGGAGACTTAGGAAAGCATATTGATGCTCAAGACAATAAAAGAGTGCTAATGCTTTGGTCTGGCACTGGAGTGTGCAATACATGTAACACTGGAAGCGAGAAGAATCATGGGCAAAATGATGAGCAACAAGAATGCAGAGCAGCAATTTGCATGGATTACGTGCTCTATTATCATTTAGATTAAATATAATCAGTCTAATTACATCCAAAATTGGTCTACTTTATCTTAAACTACTGAAAAATTATATTTCCACTGGATGTTTCATTTGGACGAGTACTGCACAGAGGAACCTGGATAGCTCAGTCGGTATAGCAACTAGGCTGAGGTGTGGCCGACCGGGATTTTATTACCGGGCAGGGGTAAGAGATTTTCATTTCTCTAGAGTCCAGACCGACTGGGGCCTAGCCAACGTCCTATAAAATGTGAACGGTGGAACTTATACGGGGGGGGGGGTTAAGCGGCAGGGGCATGAAGATGACCACTCACTTCCATCTAGTACTGAGGTTAAGAATGGTGGAGCTACACCTCCACTCCCTAAATGCTTTCATAAAGTTGTGCTTAACTACATGATTGAGTATAGCGATAACTTTTAGTACACAGTCTGATTTCATGCGACAGGTCCTGCAAGTAGTGTACAAATATGTACCAAAGTTTCGGTCAGATGAAGCTGAATTTTAACCTCTTCGGATTTATACCTGCGTACCTTACAATGTAGAGCCGGGATAGACAGTCAGTATGACTGGCTATTGGCTGGACGACCGAGGGGTCAGAATTCGTGTCCCGGTAGAGTCAAGGACATTCACTTCTCCATGTCGTCCAGACCGGCTCTGTGGTCCACCCAACCTATCCAATGGGCACCGTGGGGTATTTCCCCAGTGGGTAAAGCGACAGGGGCGTGAAGCTGATCACTCGCCTCCAACTAGTGTCGAGGTCAAGAAAATGTGGATCTATACATCCACTCCCCCATACGCCTTCACGGCATACTGCTTAATTAGTTAAACACAGGGACAAGTTTACCTTTACCTCACAAGGATACTAATGACATTATAGAACAAAGTTTCCTATATCCACAATTTACACGTCATCTTCAATGTTACTGGCTTAAACAGAAAAATCATTACAAGTCTTGTGAAATTTCCATGGAGGCTGTTGAAAGGAAACTTCAGGAACACAATATCCCCAATAACCTGAAAGGTTCTGGGAAGGCAGCTACATTTCTACTAGGACACTAAACTTGACAGAATAACAACATGCAACAATTTCGGCGAAGAGAAACATATTAAACTCTCCCTTTCTTATATTTCTTTGTCATAACTTAACCAAACAGTAAAAGGCTGTTAAGTGATCCGGCCCTCAGATACAAGACCAATATCAGATCTGTGAGCATAAGGTCGGCGCGCACACGAGCACACAGCGTTCTTAACTTCAGTTCCATTTTGCTACCATGTATCAGTGGATAACTGTGCGTCTGGTGCTCTCACAACGGTAAAAGGTAAAGCTGTCCCTGTGCTTAACCAAATAAGCACTAGGCCATGAAGGCGTATGGGGAGTGGCTGTATACATCCACGTTTTCTTAACCTCGGCACTAGCTGGAGGTGAGCAGTCAGCTTCACGCCCCGGCCGCTTTACCCCCAGGGAAAGAACCCCCGGTACCCATTGGATAGGAGGTTGGGTGGACTCCACAGCTAGTCCAGATGACGTGTAGAACAGAAAATTCTTGACCATACCGGGACTCGAACTCTGACCCCTCGGTCATCCAGTAGCTATACTGACCACGCTAACCCGGCTCCTGATCACACAACGGTACTAGAAGGAAGTGAAGCAGGCAGGCACCAACGTTTTCAAAGAATCTGCTGCCTCTATCTTCAGGTCATAATATGGAGACGAAGATGTACACAGAACGTTCTTCCAGGACGTTAATATCTATCTACAGAAGTACACCGCTTCACAGCCCACAAGACTGTAATCTTCATACTTAATTAAATATATGTTTTGTTTATTTCTGATGAGCCGCGACAGTGCAGTCTGCATGGCGACTGGCTATGGGCTGGGCGACGGAGGGGTTGGAGTTCTAGTCCCGGTAGAGGCAAGACGTTTCTTTCCTCCACGTCATCCAGATCAGATGTGGGGTCGTAAAGCCGACCACTCACCTCCATGTAGTGTCAAGGTCAAGAAAATGTAGATCCACTCCCCCATACGCCTTCATAGCGTACTGCTTAATTAGTTAAGCACAGGGGCAACTTCACCTTTTTTTTTTCCTTAGCACTACAGCCCCAGTGGGCCTAGGCCTACCTCCATGAACTTCTCTGCAACTTTACCTTTACGTTAGTTTATTTCTGCCTATGGCCCGAACTTCATGAAGTAATAACTCTAGCAGAAGGCACTTTTAACAAATTCAGCGTGAAACAATGATTCATATTGATTCATGTCAAAACTTAATGTTCAAGATCTCAACAGAACATGGAATTTATAGTTCACTGTTATACAGCATTCAAGGTTCAAAGTATTCTGAAACATGAGAATTACATTCTAAGCTTACAATTCACATTACATAAAAAACAGTATGCAGCCCTCATAACTGCCACACACCTACCCAAACTGAAAGTATGTTTCTTCCTTATACCTAATAAATACAGAAATAAACTTCTTCCAAAAGTTACAAGAATGGTTATTTTCTAATACAATGCTAGGTCCTGTCCCCACTTGTTATCCCATTTAAATAACAATGGCTATTTTAATACACCTATTACTGAAATTAAATTTAGTGACTCCCTGATTTGCCAAAGAAGCATAAACGCTCCCATGTGCATGTGTAAACATATTTCACAGTGTGCTGTAACATTAATCACAATGTATTCTACAATCTTACAAATGTCAAAAACTATCCACAACCTTCCATCAACCAGAGCTGGGACACACTGGTGTGTGTAATCTCAGAGTTTAGTCCTAGTATTAGTAGTTTAAGTGAGAATAAAAATGCTCGTTAGTCCCGGACTAGTTGCACTGTTAGGACGTTAAAAAAACCTTCCATCAGTTCGATTTAGCAGAGAAATAACCAAGTAAGATTTGACGTTTTCACGGCGGTGACTATGAAGAACGCCGTGTTCTGGGATGTGGCACAGTGTAGAGCCTGTATGAACCGACGTTTCGGAGGAACGTATCGCCTCCATCTGCAGGGTAGAAAAATTCTCGAGCTAGGAAGCAGCGTATGTGGCTAGCAGACTGAGCCAACAGTCGTAAAAAATGAAACCAGCTATATAAGAACAGAGGGAAGGAGGGAGAGTGGGCTACGTGGGAAACCAATGGAGAGGAGAGGGAGAGGCCATACGTTCCTCCGAAACGTCGGTTCACACAAGATCTACACGGCGCCACATCCCAGAAGACGGCATTCTTCAGAAATTACCATGTTCTGACCGTTTTGCATTGCCGTCCACGATGTAACCTGTATTACTACTTGCAGCACTGAGTCATGTTTCCATAGCTGCAGATCACTTATAGCATTAGGTTAATTCTGACCTCCTAATGTATTATTATACCAGTAAACCTTCAACGTTATTTTTACTGACCAATGCATTACCTTCCAAACGACAGTGCTCCGGGTTTTGGGGTGCTTGTAATGGGCTTATGTGCAAGTTGTTCCCTACAGCGGTCATTTTTATCTTATATCTTTAACCACTCCGTCCATCTACTTGAGCATTCAGTTGCAGAAATTTGACATTTTCGTCGGGAATAAGGCATGTCTGCTTGTCAAGAGACCTAAATATACTGCTGTAAAACACCTGCACACAACAGTAAGATTACAACTTTACACTTACCACCACCATGAATGCAGAAACCCCGGAGGTTCCCCTAATGTTATATTCTTCTCCCATCTTATCTGAAAATGGAACAGGATAGACGGATATGAGTTTATTGCAGCTACAAGCTACAAAAGACTCTTTTCTATGCATACTGACGTAAATATTTCATATTTACAACTACATAATTATGTGATACTTTAATCAACAAATTCTACATAATGCGTTACAGTACTTATATTTCAGATAGATTCCTTCGTTTATTTTGTTACGGAGGCCGCGAATGTTTAAATCCTCTAAAAAATCCTGGCTGGCTGCGGCAATTCAGTGGCTGCCCCCCCCCCTCTACCCACTTCTGTTGCCAGAGTGAACACGGCGTCCCACGCTAAACCCAGTATTGATTTTTGTACTGGATTCAACCCCTACCAGCACCCTACTTCACCCCCTTTCATTCGACATCGCAACGCCGAACAGTTAACTAATATTCTGAGTTAAAACAGTTTTACATATCATGCAATTTTCTCTCTACATTCTGCCACTTCGTAACTTCACTACAATACACAAAGCAACTGACACTTCCATATTAACTTTTTGCATTCAACCATCGACTTTATGTAAGGAAATATTTGGTGCAACAATTTCACGTTTTTCGAAAGGTCCCTGTCAGCCTGAAACAAACCCTCCGTTGCGGAACTGGAGGCTTCGCTAGGCGTCCTAAGACTCCTTGAATGCAGGCAAAGTTTACACGAGATCCCACCATTATTACCCTGTTGTTCTGACACCCCTTTCCACTGTGGGCCAACAACTAAAAATACATATTAAAAGATTCAGTTCTGCAACCAACGCATTCCCACTTTTAGGGAGGTGGGATGTATCTGCAGAACTAAATCTATTATGTTCTCCCCAGCGACTCCAGACCCCTCTCTATTGTTAACTGAACTAAATACTAAAAATGTATAAACGATTTTGGGTTGCAGCCAATTCTTTCCTGGTTCTACACATTCGGTTTGGCAACTACGCCTACACAATTACAACTTGAATTAGTGGCATACACATTTGCATCGTGTTCGGCCATCACTCCGAGGCTTGGGTATGGCACTTCTCAACTTAGGTGAGGGCCATGTGCATGTACGTAAGCTAATATTCAGAGAGAACAACATACCTCTGACAGGAAGGTCTGTGCAGCTTTTTGAGCTCCTACGTGTAATAAATATTCGTACACGTATAACGCTAACCTAGAAGGAAAGAGACGTTCAGTTAACAACAAATAATTACCTTCACAACTTTACAAAGATCATGTATAGTCACACCACACCACTATAATAATTAATAACAAACTTTTCCCACTGCATAATTAACTGATCCTATTAAAAACCATATATTCTTCGTTTATTGCTTATCAGACGTAATTACACTCATTTTAAAGCAATATCATTCACTTCTATTACATGTTACACGAAACCACATGCTGAGAAACTGGCAATGTGGGAAGGTGCTTCGTAATTGTCATTACCTCCCCTTACCACAGCTCGTATCTAGAATCACCTGTATCGAAGACATAACTGAACAATCAAGAACTTTGTCGATAGTCATGAAGATTCTATCATCAGCATCACATACGGAACTCTCTGAAGGAACGCTGGTAAAATACATTTTTGGAAGAACTTTGTGCGTTTCGCAGAAAACTTGTTTCCACACTGAATGAACATTAGTAATGTATATCACACCCAAGCATATAATTTAACAAAATATACTTCCTGGTTCAAAACGTAATTGGATGGAATAATGAGGTTCAGTCTCCGCAAAACGAAACTCTTGCAATTGTTTATATCAGTATGATATCAATAAATACCAAAATAAACCTTTATGGCGCGTGCATTATATTGGTTTATGGGGTCTCAAAAAACCGGTGCACTTGCAGTGTTTGTGTATACGAAGCAATGTAAACAATCACACCACACCAACACGGCTGCATCCACACAAATACTCAAGACAGTTATCATTTTCGGAGATATCACTTAGATGTACACAGACACGTCTCAGCTGTTGAACTGCTTGAAATTATACACATTAGATGCCACTTCTGACACACGTTGCGTAACATCTGAAACGCCATCTTGGCTATCACATTAAAACATCACACTACGTTCACATTAACAGAGAAAATCACCGAAGTGGACGACCGCGACATACGGCGTTACAACACTTTTCCCTTAATTTCACCGAACAGTAATCAGTAAGAAGAACTCACTCGTTCACAAGTCACTACTATCACGCTGGACCACTTAGGCATACTTACTTTTCACGTGCTTGAGCATCTGAAGGTACCGCTGAACCTTTCCCCTTCGCGTACATATTGTAGACTTCAACTGTCACGCACCTGTCAGACTACCAAGGCCGTCAGTGACCCCGTGACCATGGCAACGTCAAGGGACCTGTCAAACGCGGACTGCTGATTGGCTCTGCTGCTCATTTGGCAGTAGGGAACCTCACTACTATAGTTTGCGTAAGCAAGGAAGATAGACGATCCCCTACCATTGGCTGAACCATTATAGAGCTCGGCTATTCCATTCACTTCTCTCACCCCACAGATATGCCCACGATTGCTGTTTAGATTACCTGACTCTGTTATGCATTTCTCTTAATTCAGTTAATAACTAAACTCTTCAGAACTATATTCATCTTCATCAGAATATCTTATGTGTCTCTAATATATAAAACTAATTAAGAACTTCAAGTACGCTCGAGGATAAATATCAAAGTGTCCGACCGCCCGGGGTGTGATGAAGTAGATAGGAACAGCACGGTAGAGAGCTTGAGGCACCTAACCAGGGTTTACTACTCCGACAGAAGTCAATATCACAGATTTTGTCCTAAACTATGTTTTGCGGTTTTAATTTTCGTAAAACAGCATGTCATGCATATAAATGCCTTATATAAAATGCAGGGCTAAACTCTATAAATTTTTATACCCGATAATTGACTGAAGAAGTAGTGCCATAAACCAGCCTGACAAATGTTATTTCTGTAAAATAAATTAATATTCATCGGTCACTGTGTAATTTGAAGCGTCGATTTTAATAAAGGACACGCAAAGACAGGCGTGTCATGCTTTGGGATACCTAAAATGCCTACATCATCAGGAATCAGCCTCGAAAACTAACAAAACCGCAATTAGCACTTTTCAATTATCACTCGGTGCAGGGACATAACTTTCGAATTTAGCGTTATCTTACGCCCAGATATGGCTGAAAGTCTCTTAAGACTATGACCAAATGTAACAAATTACATTATTATTATTATTATTATTATTATTATTATTATTATTATTATTATTATTATTATTANTAATGGCCATGGGGATTCGTTGCGCTGCCCACGCAACATCCTCTATCCGCTAAAATTGACACTAACTTCTCCAACAAGCGTCGGTCGCTTGGTCGGTATAGTTCGCTTGCGGACTAAAACCACGGAGTTTGTTTGATTTGTTTCATTATTATTATTATTATTATTATTTGTACTCACCTGCAACTAGTGCCGACGTCAAGGAAACGTGAATATACAACTGCGCCCCCATCCTCCTTCATGGCGTAGTTCTTAATTAGTTAAGCACAAGGACAACTTCACTCTTATTATTAGTGTTCTTGTCGCAGTTGGTTCCGCTGATAATGCTGCTTTCTTCCTTTGACGACTTACGAACAGTAGTCAAGCTGAACGGCAGGAAGACTGAAAACAGAGTAATTATGTCTCCCTCTTCTTTTCAGATATGAGGTACCAACGTTTAATCGGGAGGACTGGCGAAAATCCAAGGAGACCCAGTCAAAATAGTCTGCCTCCAATCTAGATTTGGTCCAAGGTACCAAGATTCCTGCCTACTGGACGAGTGGAGTAGAACGTCCAGATCGAGTCAGTGTCCTACCCATCCTCCATCCAATGGGCACCGGCGGCTGAGGAGACCGTCTCCTACTCACCCACATCCTAAGCCAAGGTTGAAAATACGCAGAGCTGTACTTCCATTCCCCCATACGCCTTCATGATTGACTGGTTAAGTAAACATAGGGACAGTTTTGCCTTTATAATAACTTAAGAATGAATATTATTAGGCTTAATGAAACAAAGGAATTACTGTGTCTTAGTACAGAGCCGTGAAACAGTACAATGGACATCCAAGCTCCTATGTGGGCTTCTTAGCCTTTCCGGATGTAATAAAAAGAGGAAATTTGCGAACGTTCCACCAAAACTGGTCTCTTCACAGAGTCCTCAAGTTTCAAATTTTGTTATTTATCTGAGGAGCTCGAGCCCAGAATATTAAGTCTTTATAGCTACCGCTGTGAGTACCTCGAAATTAACTTTACAATTTCTTCGGTATGTGCCGAGGACAGCTCGGTCAAACACATGACTAACTCTGGAAGGACTACCAGGTTCCATTCTCGGCAGGGGCAGTAAATGTTTTCTTTATCGTCCCATCTAGATCAGCTTCGGAAATCTAGGTGTTTAAAGCCCTTTGCACGGATACAGTGACCTACATATGAAGCTCACCCCCACTAGTATCGAGGTTAAGTGATGGCGCGGTATGCCTTGCCGTCAGTCAAACTCTTATCTTATATTCCAAACACTAAAACGCAAAACCCACGAGTCGAAACAAAGAAGAGAACGAGTTACACTTTACTTGCCAACGATGATCTCGTAAAAAGGGAGTGTGTCTGTCTCCCGCCTAATGTGAGCATAGCAGGTCACCGTAACGTAGTAACAGAGGACTCGTCTTCAGCGAAAAGAAGGCAAGGCAATTAACCTAGGCAAGTCCGCGTGTAGGTCTAATGTGCAAGCTGAAAACACTGGAGTGACTGCCAGGCGACTCTTGGTGCATCGCGACGCCCTTCAACATACAGCAGAACGGTCAAAGTCGCCAAGTCCCACCCACCACTTGACTCTCCATCTTCACGGTGGAGGATAGTAAATTTGGCACTGGCTTATAGGCCTACACTGAAAGCGTAATTAACTAAGGTAAAGGTAAAGCTGTCCTTGTAATAGTCCGTGGAGGCCCATAGGTTTGTGAGACGGTGAGACAGTCGGCTCTCAGATGGCGGTGAGGTCAGCCTTGCGCGCCGGCCAGCGCCTTCTAGCCCCTTCTAGCTCCTGATAATAAAAATATCACCGCCATCACAGCTATAATTTTTTTACTTATGTTCCACTACATGTTTGGACCCAGAGTCATCCTCAGGTGTTTGTGATTTATACTTTTTCATTATTGAAGTGTGAAAATGTGTAAATCATAACACCCGAGGATGACCCTACAAGGGTCGAAACATGTAGTCGAACATAATTGAATAAATTATAGTTGTGTTGAAGGTGGAATTTGTATTACTAGTTATATTCTCGCAGCAGGATGCAAACATTAAGAACAAGATGTTCTTGTTATTCATTTCTGTCGGAGGCTGAGCCGACCCCAGGGCCATAGTGCGGCTGGAAGGATTAGATCAAGTGATAAACCATACGTAAATAAAAGAAACAGGGAAGCGATCTTGATGGAAACCATGTAAGTGTGTGATCATCGCCTTAAGCAGTCTTATCTCTGCTGTGCTCGGAATATTCGACATTCTATTGCTGGTCATCCTAGCTGAGACTCCTCGTGTTTTTCGTTATCCTTGCTGCAAATGTTCAGAATAAAATATGCCACAAATGCTTCCTTCAACGTCCTTCTAAAATGCATAATCATGTTCTTCCTCATTCGACGCTGCAGAACTGACTTACGCATTTACTCGTAACAAAGCATTGTTAAGTAAACCACAAAACAATTACATACGGTGTGAAATGTGACCTTCAATTCTGACGTCTTCAACTAAAGCATAATTGGTTTAGTCTGAAGTTTCCTTATGCATATATTAATAGTGTAGAGGACAGCACTATAACGGTGATAATGATTTATGACCTGTATGAATTAGAAGGTATGGTGATTGGTGAACTGGAAGACACTTCAAATATTTGCCCTCAGGAACATAATACCACGAGAAAAAAAAGCATTAGGTCCTCTGTTTCTCCTTTCGGGCGTACTATTAATTGATATTCTGTACTATGATAGTGAGAATCCTGTTTAATCGGAAATATATTTCTAGTTAATTTCACTGGTTCTGCAGATTGTGATGAAGGTAACATTAAATTAAAAAACTCCCTGGCTTTAGTCCGTAAGCGAAATATACCGACGGCGAATATCGGCGAAGTCAGTGCCAACTTTGGCGGATAGAGGGTGTCGCGTGGTAGTTCCTCAATTATCCTCACGAGGCTGAGTGGACCCCGTTCCAGACCCACTACCTCTCAGAAAATCTGGAAGCGCCGGGAATCGAACCCGGATCTCTGGATCTGTATGCAGAAACTCTGACCACTACACCACAGAGGCGGTCTAATTATATAATTAAATTTACCATTTAGGATACGAATGTGCCCATGGAGGATTCGTTTTTATAAATAACAAATCATTTCCTTTAAATTCACAATCCGTAATTTATTCTTAATTAAGAAACAACCGAACTCCGTTTGTGAAAATATTTGTGTACGGCGTTTTCCGTAAGGTTTCGTTACCAACCGAACGCATACTGCACGGCAGACCCAACCCAGGATGAAACATGAACTGGAGGGGCTCCCATACGGGCTGTACTAAATTAAATGAACCGCCAGCTTATTCCTACGGCGCATTCACACTCCTAGTATTCATAATGCTGATGAAGCCGGCGACTACGACAGAAGGTTAATAGTTCGCGAACGTTTTTCCTCTCCATCGGAGCAGGCATGCATACAACGCATAGATTCCCCCCTCTTTGCCACTCGAAGCAACGTTGTCAATTGTGCACAGGTACCAAATTCCGAACAAATATATTTTCAGTTTGCTTTTCGTAACACGTCTTCAGTTAAAAGTGAAGCCAATGGAATCGGTAACTTTAAAAATTAGAGAGGTCGTACGTTTAAGGCGAATGTATTTGTATCTTTCATCTCTAAAACTGGCAATATGTACTTAAAATACACGGTAACTACAAAATGAGCTGTGAAAAGAAACATTGCCTTCCTCATTCTCAATACGTGATAACTAAAACGATAGGCTGCCTATTTCTCTAAAACGAATATTCTAAACAGCTCAAGATAATTTATATGCAGTATTGTCTTTGAATCTCGAATTTTTCTTCTTCGCTGACACCAGGCGCATAGTACATGTAATTATATCGCATGATGTTTGCCATGTTTATTCAGTTTTAGAACAAAAATTGCTTTTGGGTAAGTGATCACGGCTTTAGAGCTCCACTTGCAGTGCGGCAACATGGTTTGTAGGCCTAAATGAGGACCTTGGCCGAACAAGACTCAGGGGCGTAGATCATGGGTTTTCTTCTTGCCAGGCAGAAGTTGGAGAGAGTGGGGATACGGTAGGCCCTCCCCTCCGTTGAAAGTGTGCCGGCTGGAAGCATTTGCTTTCACAGAAGGCTCAGATGCATACAACAAAATCTTGGAGACT